TGTCAATGGTGTACTTCATAGACATCCTAGGTGATTAGGGTCAAACTAGTGATTAAATTGTTCTTCCAGGATTCTTAATTTTTGTCCCACTGAGTCCACATGATATCAAATATGCACCAAATGGGAGAATATTCCATGTCACTCTCACACTTTAACCTGGAACCCCCCCAAATTTTATAATATCCATATTATCCTTGTCTAAATTTTAGTATAAAAGGGCGCACGAAAAATTCAGTAGAACAAATGAAATATCTAATATAAATAAAAAATTTGGTAGTGTATGTTAAAAGTCTGGTTTGCATTTATATCGATTTTAAAAAAATGGTGTATGGAAAAACTTACCAGTGTTTTAAAACACCATCTTGTACCAGATTTTTGGCAAAACATTGAAAAATCTAGTATTGTACTAAAATGCCATTTTTTACTGACAATTTTGTACAGTTGTCATTACACTGGAAGTTGTGTGTGCTTTAGAATAAATTCAAACTTGTATAATGAGGAATCATGTGTTTCTAAAAGAAACATCTTAGAATGCCTCACTATTTGTTTAAGGAAGTTGTGTACTTCAACAGAGTGAGTCCTCTTGTTGATTTTGGGATCCCATAGGACACTCATATCTCTCTCTTTTGAGATCCAATTTGAATAATATATTGCCCGACATCGAGAACAGAAAGGTGAGTAAGATCGAGTTTCTTGCATCATGGATTGTAATTGATGGAAAGGTGATATACAACCATATTGAGCTGAAGATTTATGAAGATTTGAAGATTATGTGGAGAACATATTACCTAGACTAACAAAGGGACCGATTGAGTTTGATGTGACGATTTTTAGATATGTCGACGCCATAATCAAGATGTTGAAATGTCCATAATCATTTTTGTTATTTATTATTGTTAAGTTATGTAAATGTAATAATTATATGTGTTAAGTTAAGTTAATTGTAATGTGTTAAGTTATGTTCATATTGGAATAATGAAAGCGGCAAAACATTATCTAATAAATGGAATGGTGTAAATGTCTGAGAAATAATACACATAATATACAAATAATATAATTATAATAATGTCTACAAAGTGAAAAGAATTTTTTATTTTCAACGTATGAATAATAAATAAAAACAAGTTCAACATATAAAAAAAGAGGGTCGGACAAACCCGCCAAGTGGAAACGGGCATAAAAATCTAGCCTGACCTGCCTATTTATTTATTTTCAGTTTTTTAATAGATTAATAATCTTCTTTTTTACATTTCAATTAGATTTTCGCTTACTTTTCAGAATAATTTTTTATAAAGCATCTTTTCAAAAAAACTTACTTACAAAAATATTGCATATATGATGACACCAAATTATACTATTTATTTGACTCAATTTATGTATGTTTTATTATCGTTTTATTCTCATTTCCTCTATTATGTTGGTATTTTGTTTGTTTTCAGGTCTTTAGCCATTTAAGAGTCATATGCGAAAAAACGAAGCAAAACAGACAAGAAACGGGGGGAAATGGGACATTTTTATACTCCAGGGGACCATCATGGCGTTCATCATAGAGGTGACCATGGGTGGTCCATAAACCAATGATTACAATACCAAGCCTTGCCCATTTGACTCCATGGCATTCACCATGGAGGTGTGGTGATCGCCACACGTTGAGACGTACAAACAGTTAGAAATGGACTTTGCTTAGTCGTCAAGTCTTCCCAAATCGCTCCTACATTTTCTCCACGATCTTTGAACCGTTTTTGATGATTTTTATGGTCTTAGAACCCTATAAATACCCCTTTCACTTCACATTTGAAGGCATCCAAGCTTAGTACAATCTAAGCCATATACTTTATCATTTGAAAGCTATAATCCTTCACATCAAGGGGTTATAGAAATTGTCCTTGTATTGAGTTTGGATCATTTACTTTGAAGTTGTTTATCTTCCCACATTTACATTCTGTCAAAGTTTATTTTCGTCGAAGTTTATTTCCGTTGTACCAGATTCAAGCCTCCGTTTAGAGCAAGTTCTTATTTAATTCAACATTATTTATATTCGGTCTGCTTTACTTTACCTTGCACGCTTATTTTATCACACATTCATCTTTTACCTTTCTTTTAATTATTTTATTGTTACTATATTTTATCGAATAATCGAATCAATCGCTTTAATTTATGTTATAATTATGCCTGACTAAATATATATTTGTTGGAATATGAGGATCGTCAATTCGACAGTACTCTAAATCGTTGTTCTTTAAGAAATTCTATCGGGACTATTTTAGTTTTAATCACAACTTTTCAAAACTTAATTGTGTCGGTTACTACGAAAGTAGAACCATTTATATGTCGGATAAGATAGAAAATCTTCAGGTACAAAAGATTAAGGTTGTTTAGTTTTTAATTGATAAAAACCGTGAAAGCCGTTTGTTAATTAATTAGGGAGATTGGTATTTTGATAAAGTACTTTTTAAACCTATTTTCGGACACGTTTGTAAGTTTAAGGTATGATTGGCCGATGCGAACGCCGGGAACCATTTAAAATATTATTTTCCAATCAAAATTACTTTCAACTAAGTAAAGAGTATAATTTCTTAAAATATGTTTTATTACTTTAACGCGAATAATGCCTACCACCGCGACAGTGGACGATATAATTTAGAGAGTAAAATTCGATTCTGAATACGTGAAAGCGGCAATTCCTGTTAAATTAATCCTTTTTAAAGTAGAAAATATTGTCCCGTAGAAATTCAATTTACAAACAACAAGAGTACCAACGAATTGAGGAGATGCATATTTCAACATTACATTTCTGATATTAGTTCAAGTCTTTCATTTACTGTACTTGCATAACACCAACCTTTATTTTATTAGCCTTTGATAAACACTAGCGATAGAAAGCGATAGCTTGACTATTGGTCTTTGTGGATTCGACACTCTTTGTATTACTTTGACAGTTTTCGTGCAATTGCGAAATACCCCCATCAAGTTTTTGGCACCGTTGTCGGGAACCAATTACGTCGAATATCGTAACTTTGTTGTTGCATTGTATATACTAAGGCACTCCTTGTCTCTATTACTATGTATCACCAAAAATTTCTATATAATTACCACTCCTAGGAGGAACCACAAGATTTCCATAAATCTGACCTCGAAGTGATAATGGAAAATTTCATTGAGACGCAAACTCTCTGTAGGCTAGAATATTTGTGGAGGAGGTTTGTGGCAACACATATTCTCCAGAATAAAGAATTTAGAAAGCAAAGTCTTCATAACAATGAAGTTCTTAGGCGGCTGAACATTATGGTCGAGTCCCTCGCGACTCACATCATGACATTGTTTGGTTCTTCCATATGTCTCCTATGAGAATCAGTTGAGACTACTATCTCTGTCCTGATATGTGAAGCCTCTACGTCATTGACCCTCGCACAAGCCCTCGCTGCAACTCTGTTACAATACCTAAAAGCAATTGTCTCGTCCGATCCTCTGATCCTCATTAGAAAAAAAACATAAACTATTTAATTTTGTAAAAGTCTGAAAATCAACATGATTTATCGGATATTTCAAAAAATCCAATAAAACATCTCAATTTTTCTACTTTCGAATATTTCAAAAAAACTGTAATACATGTATACATTTTTAATAGACTTCTCAAAATATTTGATTGAACTACATACATTTTTATCGATCTTTTCCAAATATCTAATAAAAATGCACGAGAAACATGACGTTTTACCGAATACATTAAAAATTCGATAAAAATGCATTAAAAATTTTGAGTTTTTACGGGACATTTTAAAAAATTAGATAAAAGCGCATAATTTTAATGAAAGACTAGGTTAAAATACTAAATCGCTGATAAAACGCATACTTACTTTGAAATATCCAATAGCTTGCTAAAAAACCGATAAAACACTGGTTTTAAAAAAAAATCAGAATATACAATTGAATAGTAAAATGAGTTTTTATTTGATAAAGTCAATATTATAAAATCACAGTATTTATCGTTACAGATTAAAGTGGAATCCAGCTTCAATAACTTTCGAATGGTGGAAAAATCACATAATTTGAGTCAATCATATCCGTTGGATATCAATCAAGTGGATTAAGTAATACCACATGTTTAAACTTAAATAAAAAAATTAATATAATAATTCAGATCCACGTAGCGTGATTTAGTCCATTTGATTTATATCCCACTGTTTAACGTAAAAATAAGGTAATTGTTCACCCACCATTTCTTTCCATTTATATAAGTCAATATTTTATGCACGATGAAAAAATTCATCGCTAACAATTCCATACAGTGTTCTGTCAATTCAACCATTCAGCCTTATCTGAACAAGGGATAAGACCCTGCTCTACAGACCCGTCCTTCGACAAAACATTAGACTAATACTTATCGTTTGGTAGAAACATTAGGCAGCGTATTTTTCGTTTGGTAGAAACATTAGGCTTATATAATAATTAGATTTTTCTAACAAAATTTAGTTCACCGTTGAAGAAAAACACTAATTAAACTAGATCTGTATTATTTCGGGTCCCTACACAGAAACTTCATACATATCTAAAACTAACATCACCCACCAACTAATGTCCCTTCCACTAAACTAACTTAACTACTTTCAAAATCTGATCAAAAGTTCCTCTAAAACACTGTTTTCAGATTCAAAACGAAATGAAAATGAAATTTAACCATTCCATAAGCAAATATAAAACATTATAAGAACTTTTTTTTTTTAATTTTAAACTTGATTTTTTCCCTTCTTTTTCGAATATTTTTCCAACTAAGCCTTGAATTTAGGACTGCAGAAATTTCAGATTTTCCTATCCCTTTCGTTCCCTCCATTTCTTGGAAATGAATAACGATTCTTCTCTTTGTACATTAATCAAAATTATTTTTAAAAAAAGGATAAAAACGAAAAGGGTTCATGCTTTTCCAATCTGAAAAAAACCATCATGATAATTTTCTGAATTTGCTCATTCGTCCCTTGTTGCATTCCATTCTCTGAAAATATTTACGAATCGATCCTGCTAATTCCCATTCGCTTCACCGAAGCATTCCTGTATCCATCATCGGAAATACAAATCCCATTCTGCTGCTCCAAACCCGCCATGTAGCTTCTCACCTCCGTCCTTATCATTTCCTGCATCACTGACAATAACTCTGCGCTGAAATTGAACGGCATAACCGATCCTTGCTGCGTCTGCATCGGAACAGCCATCGGAATCGGTGCAGTCATTATCGGAACCAACGGAATCGCAGTTGGCGGTGGAGGAGGCGGCGGTACAGTAGTAACAGGCTCAGTAACACGATTTGAATCTTCAGAAGAAGAATCAATACCAGGAAGTGATAACGAAAGTGAAGTTGGAGGATCATTGGATTTGGAAGACGACGTCGTTTTCGATTCTACGAGAGGTAGAGCCGCAACGGTTCTTGTAGGGACAGGACGGTAAATATGAGAAGAGTTCACGATAGGTACACTGGACTCGCTCACATCGGATCCAGAAGGACTTCCCGGAGTGGGAGGGTTCTTGTAAATCCCATTACAAACAGGTATAGCAGCACCGGCACTTACAGATCTTTTCAACGGTGGAGATTCATCGATCATAATAGAAGAACACTTGCGTTTCAAAGTAGAGTTCCAGTGATTCTTAATCGCGTTGTCGGTTCGACCCGACAGAAGGCGGGCTATGGTAGCCCATTTGTTTCCGAATCGGGCATGGGCTCTGATTATAGTATCATCCTCTTCTGGGGAAAAAGCCCGATGCTCAACCTGGGGAGAGAGCTGATTACACCAACGCAGACGACATGATTTCCCGGATCGTCCCGGAATCGATTTGCTGATTATCGACCAGTTTCTCGGACCGTGCTTCTCCACAAGCTTTTGCAGAGCTTCGTCCTCTTCAGGACTCCATGGACCTTTGATCCGATCCATTTCTTTTCTGGTTATTGCTGTGTTCATCTTTTTTTGTATCAGAATGTATTTGATGAAAAAAAGGTTGAAGATGAAGAAGAAGAAGAAGAAGAAAAGAGGAGAAGGGGCATTGAGTAGGTTTGAGGAAGGTGAGGCGGTTTATATTTGAGAGATAAAGGGTAAAAGGAAACCGGTTGGGTAGGTTAGGTTTTAGAGTTGTCAGCGAGCGTTATGGGCAATCGGTACCGCTTCTACCAGGGAAGCGGTTAGCTTGGGATTTGGGATACAGCTGTAATTAGACACGCGTCACTTCTCAGCTGCTCCCAATAACACAAGTCACCTTTTTTCTTTTTCCTATTTTATCCTTCCAAATTCAAAAAAACCGATTTTATTATTATTTCAGCGCGTGTGTCACACACGCGACGCTCCGCGTCTTTTCATTAAGAAAGTGCAATTCACGTGATGGAATGAGAAGGTGGGAGTAAATAAAACAGTTCTGGAAGTTAATGTAGATAAATAATTAAACCAAAATTGGAGGTTAAAAATAGGAATTAATTTGATATAAAGAAAAAAGAGAGTACAAAAAACGGAAAGGAGAAAAATAAGATAACGATGATAACGGTTGGTTTGGGGTTGCTTTGGTTTGAGTTTGACTGAGGAGTCCAGGCTGTAGAGCATAAGGATTTCGTGTGGGATTTTGAAGTTTCGTCCTTTTCTTGGGAATTGGGACCCATAGTTAAGCTGATGTGGCACAAAACGACAAGATCGGTCGCCGAATCGGAGAGCGAATCATTACTGCTTTTCTGTCAGTCCAGCCTGTATTCTATACCTGCCACCCCCACCACCATATCATCCTATAACGGCCTATTCTATCTTTAATTGACACGTGTCGGTTAATTTGATTCTCTTTTCAAATAAAATCATGTACGGAGCCGGTTACTTCACTAAATCGCAATCTCCAATGCTATGGCACTTTCCTCTCATCTTCCTTGATGCTGTTCATTCAAGTTATAATAATACTAATAATATCAATTTATTTTAATTTTATTTATTAACAACATAAAATAAAAATATAAAACTCCTCAATGTTTGCGGTTTGAATTAGTTGTGTTTTGATTTTAAAATATAATAATCACACCCACGTATTTGTCAGTGGTTAAATGTGTTTAATATGATTAATTAATTAGGAATATGAAAGTGGAGGATTAGGGGTGGATTAAAGAAAGATTTATGAGAAGAGTGGGAGAAGAGGTTGTCGGGGGAGGATGGGTTATTGTGATGAAACAGATCCGAATCCATTTATGTTTCTGTTACTTGTACGTTGTATTGTACGTATAGTGTCCACGGCGTGGACCTCTTGCTCCACCTTGATGCTATTATTGGATTTTGGATATGAAAAATCAATTATGTAATATTGGGTACTTTCTATTTATTAATTACTCTAATTTAGTCATCCTAATTTAAAATTTAAAAGATATTAACAATTTTAATTTTTATTTAATAAATTTTTAGAACGGTCCTGTACATATTCTATTGCGTGAACGGTGGAAATTAGGAAAATTTTATCAAAAACTTAATCCTCCCGACCATCTCACCCCAAAAACTTCTCATTTCAAACATTTTTAAGGTAAATATAAAAAAACTAAATAGTTGAAGGTGTTGGAAATCCACGAATACTCTATGATGAATTTCGACCACCACTGATGATTAGCTATGAGACAAACAAAGAAAAGACAATAGAGATATTTCTGCAGAGTTTCTCTCTGCCCACAAACTGTGGAAATTTTATTATTCACTTTGCAAATGCAAAATACTGTGAATGACTTGATTACAAAATAGGGGTTACTCCCTCTATTTATAGATTTAGGTTAGCTTGCTCCCTAAGCTAAACCCAAGCCCAAAATATCTCTTTACTAAATCAAATCTAATCTAGATTTAAATTCAAATCTATTTAAATCTAAACAAATCAAAACTTCTTTTGACACATATGAATTATAATTTAACACACCACCTAATTCATTGTGTCTAAACTGTCTATGTTCATCATGGCCCTTAGCTTTCTGAATACTTCGACCTGCACTCCCTTCGTCATGATGTCTGCAATCTGATTCTCAGTTCTGCAGTGTTTCAAATTCATCTTCCCATATGCTACCTGCTCTCGAAGATAATAGAACCTCATTTCGATGTTCTTACTTCGTCCATGTGCTATTGGGTTCTTCGCCAGATTAATAGCTGACATGCTGTCTATCTTCATGGTAATTGCTCCATGATTTTTCCCTGTTATCTCTTCGACCAAGCTCATCATCCAAGTTGCTTGACATGCACAAAGAGAAACAGCTATGTATTCTGCTTCACATGATGATAATGCCACTACTGGTTCTTTTCTCGAACTCCAAGCAATTGTTGCACCACCTAGCATAAACACATATCCTACTGTTGACTTTCGATCTTCAACATCACTACACCAACTCGAATCAGTGTATCCCACTAACTTGCATTCTTTTCCTTTATCAACTGCAGAAAACAAAATGCCATAATCGAAAGTTCCTTTAAGATACCTTAGTATCCTCTTCACAGCTGCTAGATGTGATACCTTTGGCTTCTGCATGAATCTACTTACCATACCTACGCTGTATGCTAAGTCAGGCCTTGTATGATAAAGGTATCTCAATGATCCAATAAGTCTTTTGTATTGGGTTGGATCAACATCATCTTCATCAGCATCTTTCGACAGTTGCAGTCTTGGTTCTGCAGGTGTTGAAGTTGCGTTGCATTCTTCCATCTCAAACCTTTTGAGAATTTCTCTTGCATATCTTCTTTGATGCATCATCAAACCTCTACTGCTCTTGTAGAATTCGATACCAAGGAAATATGAAATCTCACCCAAATCAGACATTTCGAATTCCTTGTTAAGGTCAACTTTGAAGTCTTCGATCTCACTCTTGCAGCTACCTGTTATCAACAAATCATCTACATAGAGACATAGTATAAGCAATTTACTCTTGCTTCTTCTTACATATACTCCATGTTCAGTTATGCACTTCACAAATTCCTTCTCCCTTAGAAAACTATCAATTTTCTTATTCCAAGCCCTTGGAGCTTGTTTCAAACCATACAGGGCTTTATGTAGCCTGTACACCTTTCTTTCTTCGTCATGTTTCATAAACCCAACTGGTTGTTTAACATAGACTTCTTCATCTAAGGGTCCATTTAGGAATTCACACTTCACGTCCATCTGACATATGTGCCAACTGTTGATTTCTGCTAGACCAACAACCAGCCTGATTGTTTCGATCCTAGCAACAGGTGCAAAAACTTTGTCGAAGTCTATTCCTTCTTTCTGTAGAAATCCTTTCGCCACAAGTCTTGCTTTGTGTCGAGTTACTTCACCTTTCGAATTAGTCTTCACTTTGTATACCCACTTGACATCAATTTCCTTCTTGCCTTGGGGCAATTAGACAAGTGACCAAGTGTTGTTGTCTTCGATAGACTTTACTTCTTCGTTCATTGCTTTCACCCACTTCGAATCCTTTAATGCTTCAGCTGCATTAACAGGTTCGACATCTGTATAGAAAGCATAATGTACCATCTCACCTTCATCATCTATCACATCATCTGATGTAATCACACAATCTTGCAATCTTGCAGGCATGCGTCTTGTTCTTTGAGGTCTGCTTGTACTGGGTATATCTGCTGGCTCCTCTTGTCGAACTTCTCTTTCGACTTGAGTTTCTGGCTCTTCGAATAAGATTCCCACTGAATCTTTTTTGACATTTGTAGTCCAATCCCATTCTTTGAACTCATCTATGATCACGTCCCTGCTGATCACAATCTTCTTATTCTCTAGATCGAACAACTTGTAGCCTCCTGTCGAATGATATCCAACTAGGATCATTTGACTTGACTTGTCATCAAGTTTCTTTCTCAACTGATCTGGCACATGTCTATGTGCAATAGATCCAAATACTTTTAGATGACTTAAGCTAGGCTTCACACCAGACCAACATTCTTCTGGAGTAATTCCTTCTAGCTTCTTTGTAGGACTTCTGTTCAAAATGTATGTTGCAGTCGAAACAGCTTCACCCCATAACTCTTTGGGTAAATTCTTGCCTTTCAACATACTTCTCACCATGTTCATGATGGTTTGATTTTTCCTTTCTGCAATTCCATTTTGCTGTGGAGTATAGGGTGGCACCACCTCATGCACAGTCCCTTCTTTTTCACATAATCTGTCGAAGTCTTTCGACACATATTCTCATCCACCATCAGTTCTTAAAACTTTGAGCTTTCGACCACTTTGTCTTTCGACCATGGACTTGAACTTGGTAAATACTTCGATCACTTCACTTTTCTTCTTGATCAGGTAAGTGTTGGCTGAAGATTTTGATAATGTTATTAAAAGCCAAGTAAGTTGAACGTTTCGATCGAAATGAAACAAAGCGTCATGTTTCGAAGTAGCAGAAGCAGTGTTTCGAATAAGCATATCAAAGCTTGGAGCTTCGAGTGGCAATTATGGAAACATATCTAAAGAAGTCTCGAAATAACAATAAGGCTGTGTCTGAGAAGTGCGTTCGAAGCGGAGAAATACCAAAACATTTGAAATTCAAATGGAAGCGGGACATTCGAAGTTTGAAATTTATGTGCTGGAGCATTTGGAGACACGTGGAAACAAGAGAGAGGCATTGTTTTGCATGTTCTGAACGTGGCATGATCTTATAGCAAGACCGTTATGGTCTAAGTAGTATAAATAGAAGTCTTAGTATTAGGATTTCGTATGTCATATCTATTGTACTAAATACTCAGTAAACATTCAAATTACCACATGGCAAGGGAAACGAATGCAAGAGCAATGTACGTATGATAGCACCACATGTTTATGTTTTAATGAAAACCTTTTATCATTTCCAGCACTTTCCTTTATCTTTCTGCCAAATACCATTTACAAGTTTTCTCATTTAAAGTCTTTTTATTCGAAATCTTTTCATTGAAGCCTTACATTTTAATGCTTTCTTTACATTTCAAACACTTTTACATTTCAGAAAACTGTC